CGCTCAATATGCTAGTGGGAAATGCTGGTATAGTCACATCTGTAAAATTTCAGTACCGACTGGTACCAACATTGGTATTTTTAACAACACTATTTGGGCTCATGCATTTAGACTTCATCTTCTCATTTACTGCTGTGCCAGATTTCGCTTTCACTTCTGACAAAAATTAGGTGCTTGTAAGCTTTCTTCCACGTGTCAGAGAGACACAGGGGTTTCCGGAGAGAGTCACTTGAAGCTGGCAAAGTTCTGAGGTGAGTGTTCTCCAGTCTAGTACCTCTGACTAAGTTTTTGTGCAAAGTGTTGGAGACAGGAAAATAAATTACTCAACCCAATATTCTATATATATTCTGTGCTCCTGTTTGTTTTTCATCCCTAGGCAACACTGTTATTTCCTGGTGAGGTCTTGCCTGATAATAGTGACAGTTTTTCTCTCGTTCCTCACCTTAGCTTGCTCTCTCTGTGCTTTTTGCCATGTGACGTTAAATCAGGAAGTCAGAGCGATAGCAGGAACACATGAGGGTTTCCCTCCATGGGCGGATGGCCCATGCATTTTCCCTCTCATTCACCCTTTCGTGTTTTCAGTTCTCTTTCTTTGCAAAGAGTCAGTACCAAAGAACTGGTCTGGAACTGGCAGGGTTCCACTGAATATGTATGAAAAAGATGTTTGGTTGCTTTTTATATATGACTAATGTGGACACTTTGATTGATTTAGATATGGGTCTACTTATGAAAAGCATGTGTGCTGCTTATAGACCACAAAGTTTACTAAAACCTCATAAAACGGTTACGTTTTCTGATGAGACCGGGTTGGAATCACACAATCAATGTAATTGTATGAGTAATCATTGATTTATCTTCCAATTACCCAGGTACTCATGCCCATCCTGAGCATAACCATGAGCGTTGGAAGCAAAAAAACAAAAACAAAATGTGGGTGGGTCCAACCCCAGAAAAATTTTACTGGAGTACAGTAGATGCCATTTCCTGTATTCTGGTGCCTTTTAATTAAACAATTGCTTTCATAGCCACATACCTGGTAAAGTTTCCCAAAAATTAACACAGCAACAAAAGTCTAGTAAGTTGTTTTGATCAAACAAACTGATGTAGGCCTACTGTAGCTAGCTAGCTAGCCTAACAAAAATGTCAGATAACTGTCATAACAACATAGTTTAACTGTAATTCAATGCTGCATCAAAGACAACATGATGTCTTTAAAAGCAGCAGGCGAACAAATGATGACCATTCCCTTAAATAGCAGCTTGTTTAGTGACAGTGAGCACACAGCCAGACCTTTGTCATAAATACAGTTTACAAAATGTCATGGGGGAGCAATCGGTTTCCCATCTACTGTAAAGTTTTCGCTCCATTCACCCCTCATCACACCAAAGCTGTTTCCTCCAGCGAAAATGTAGCCCTTAACACATATGAAGTGAACGCATACTTTATAAAACGATCATGTTGCTATTTTCATTTGAAAATGTAACTTTCAATAAACATATTACAGCATGTGGCACCATACAGTCATGCGCAGAAATGATTAAAGACAGTGACAGACAGTACTTGAGCATAGAAAGAGGTTTGTACTAGAAATGCAAACAGTAAAAATGTATGTTTGTACAGTAAACAGGTGTGTGTGTGTGTGATCAGGAAGACTTGTATTTGGCTAATTCATTACTCAAATGTTATGCAATACAGTGGAATACTGCAATATGTTTAGTAGGCTATACCACCCTGCCCTATTAGTCAAACATTTTATTTTATTCATTCATTTATTTTATTATTATACCCTCATTGGGGGCTGAGCCTCCCTAAAATGAAAATCCTAGAGTCGTCCCTGGTGAACAGTCTCCTGTGCAAAACGGTAAAAGTGAGTGGGTCCAATATCACTGGTCTTAAAATGGTTCTGATGTCCAAGCTCATGACAATGAGGTATAAATGACCAACAACCACCACGAAAAAAACATCTGGGCTAGGACAGCACAATCTTCCTCTCTTCTTTGTCTAGATTGGAATCACTTCAACACCCTGCTATCTACATCTCTCTCTCCCTCCCATCCTTGATCTATCTCCTCGATCCACCATATGGCTCCTCCTGCAAATCAGCACAATTTCATCCTTGTCTCCTCAAGAAGGAACAACGAGTCACTCAAGGTGATGCACTGAGAACGATTCTTAGTTAGCGCGGGGAAATGACAGAGCGATTGTTTGTGGTTATGAGGGTGTGTGAGTCTCGCTCTTTGAAGACTGCTTTTGAACTCACAAAGAAAAAAACCCCCTCAGAGTTAAATTCCTTCGCACAAGCACTGACTCAGTGATCTCATCCTAGAAACAGCGGTAAGATAAAAGTTAGATGTGTTGTTTTAAACTTTGAGGTGAGGTCCAAGTGTATTCACGAGCGCGGCTCGCATTACAGTGAACCGCTCTGTGCGTGCACGAGATCCGTAGACTAGCGCGCGCATTCCTCTCCGGCCCTTTCATTCATCCGTCAACAGCAGCTTCAAAGCGCACTGACTCATTTGGCCACAGATCAGTTCAAATCGACTGGAGCAGAATATCCGGGAAATCTACAACTGTGGTATTGGATTCCAGAAAAACAACACGCTCACAGAGGAACTCAGAATTGTGAAATATTTATTTAATACATTTAAAATGTTAAATATTTAATAAGTATAAATATTATTGAAAATATAGTTGAAAAAGTTATATATTTTAATAATAATAATTAGAAAATAAACAATACAATACAAATGAGGTATTTCTTTATTTATATAATTACATTATTATGGCTCTGGCTTAGCTTGGCTTGCCTAAAATAACATTTATTTACTGAGCTGCCTGCTCTTAATGACCTAATTCAAAAGATCTAAACCCTTAACCTGGGTTAGGGGTCGAAGGGTTATGTGGGCGGGACCCGCTGAAAAATGAAAATTAATAATACACGAGTGGCTGTCATGTCAACAAACAGTCTAGCGAAAATGATTGATATATGCCTAGTGTAAACAATTGCACTTTGTTCATATTTTATTCATAATCAATTTTATTCTTGGCAAAAAAAAAAAAAAAGTTTTATTGTCCTATAGCAGGGTTCCTCAAATCTTGCCCTGGAGGGCCAATGCGCTGCAGAGTTTAGCTCCAACCCTGATCAAACTCACCTGTGATTTTCTAATGATCCTGAAGACATTGATTAGCATGCCCAGGTGTGTTTGATTAGGGTTAGAGCTAAACGCCGCACGAAAGTGGATCTCGTGGACCAGATTTGAGGATCCCTGTCCTATAGTTCATCAGTTAGGCTACCGTTTGTCAAATGTTACAAAAACAAAAAAAAAAACGATCCGAGGAAACTCCCTGTTCAACTAAAGGGAAACTTATGATACTGAGAAGATGGGACTGTCCATCGGGGGTAAACATGCTGTATCGGTGAAAATACAATAATAGCTTTCGGAAATGTGTTTGGGCAAATCCGTGACAAAGCGAAGGGGAAGGGGGACAGCGCGTCATTGAACGTTCCCTTTTAGTTTATTGATCTGCAAGAAACTGAATTACATGAGATCTCAAGCTGTTCTAAAACAGACAGACATGGACACTCTTCGCTTGCTTATATGAAAATCAGTGATACACGTTGCCTTGTAGTCTTTCTTATTCTGATAGTGAACGAGCCCTCCGCCACCTTAATAATCCCATTACGTATTCTGCTATAGCTCTGCTTAATCCTGGACACACTGGCAGTACTGTCCCGCATTTCAGCCACCGTCTGTCTCTCTTATCTCTCAGCAATCTACATTAACTGTTAAACACTAGGCTTCAACGCAGTCGCAATTCCGACAATGAAAATTCACATTATCGCTCATTTTGAGATGATTTACGCAGCGCCTGCAGCCCCAGAGCCGCGCTCTTGTCCAAATCCCCAATTTTCAGTCTTTTGTTAGCGAGCGCAGCCCCGCTGAGTGTCTGATAAATGCCATTTCATTCCAACAAGCTGACCACATGCTGCTTTAACAGTGTGGGACATTTACCTCTCTGACTCTATATTGCCTTCAGCCGTATGCATGAAAACAAAGGTTTTTATCAATCGTCAAATTGCGTTACATGCATCGATAAAGCATGCATGCAAGCCGTTTAAATGACTGCGCTGATAGGATCTCGAGTCTCTTTCAACCTGCTATTCTCTTTGAATCAGAGTTTGTCATAGCAGACTGTGAGTGTATGGGCAAATCTTTCAACTAACTAGTATTTATTATTCATGTTACTAGCACATTTTTTTTTAATTACAAGAACTGACCTATTCATCAGCTGCTACACGTACTTATTCCAGTAGTGAATCTATTCAATTAGTCCCCAGTACTATAGTCACAATCCCAGTAATGACAAATAACTGTATATTTGAATCACTGATTTCTATAGGGATCTGTGATACAAATATCAACTGTTCACAAGAGACTAATCGTTATTTCGCATAAGTTATTAGTTTATATTGCATCTTTACTGTAGCTTATATATTTAAAAGATAAGCTACTAGCAGCTACTTCATCTCCTATCTAGCTCAATTGCAACCAGTAACATTATCTCATGTTAAAACAGCCTTATACTTGTCATATGGCTAGTCAGAATCACTACTTCATAATTCCGTAAAAATACTAGCAAAAGCAATACAGTAAATGGAACTCCCTCGGAATGTGTGCGTAAATGCGTGGGGCAGCGCCAGTTAATCTTTGGTGCAGTCTTCAAGCTTGTCTTCTAATCTGTCTGCCTTATCTAAAATACACAAAACTGGGATTTCTCCACTCAAGTTTCCAAACTTCACCGTGGACCTCAAGCATAACAGTAGAAGTGTTACAGTATAAAAAGCAAATGCTGCGTAAAAAGTCAGTGTGGAGGTGTAGGAGGTGCGCGTACTGACAAAGTGAAATACACAGGGGTTTAGTTGTAAACACCAAATGATCGTAACATTTGAGCGAGCCACCATTCAAAGCAATCCAATAATATGAAACTCATAAACTCACTAATGGGTCCATGCGCGGTGAGTCTAGCCGCTGGGAGACCAGAAGCATCTTGGAGAGCGGGTAAACCACGTAGCCACTGTTAAATCCACTTTGTTTCAGTATGTGTAAACTGTCTTATAAAGAAAAGCCTGATTGGGAATCTAATAAAAGATAGTTAATATCAGTCTGAAAATTGTGCTATCGCCCAGCTGTGTGCGCGATGGGCAACGAGGAATGAGGATTGCGTCCAAATGAAAACTAATCTGATATTCTGCTCAAGCGCCAGTCATGTTGATTCTCTTGAACGGGGACTAATAACACAAACGTCTGTGTCAGCTCTCGCTCTACACGGCCACTTACGATCACAGAGCTCTGTAGCTTCCTGGCTGGTGGGCGGAGTCAGGCAGTCCATAGGACGCTCCGCTGCGCGTTGTCACAGAGGAGGAGACGCAGATGTTCCACTCGCAGTCTGCGCTTAAAGGGACATTACGTCTCTGTGCTCTAGTTTACACGCGTATGGGCTTTTCACAGTAGTGGTGGGGATTTTGCTTCATCCCTGTGACTCGAATCTTTTAAATCCTTTTTCTGTAGGTTGTAGCAAGGGTCTTTGTGTGTGTTATGGATGAGTCACTGAACAATTTACTTCATCGAATCATAAAAAGTGCATATAACTGCACAAACACACACAGGTTTGTTTTTATGGTTTATGGGGACTCTCCATAGGCGTAATGGTTTTTATACTGTACAAACCGTATTTTCTATTGCCCTACACCAACCCTACCCCTGAACCTACCCCTTACAGGAAACTTTCTGCATTTTTAGATTTTCAAAAAAACTCGTTCTGAATTATTTATAAGCCTTTTGAATTAAGGGGACACTGAAAATGTCCTCATAAATCACCTTCTCGTTGTAATACCTATGTCATACCCATGTTATTATACAAATTTGTGTCCTCATAAACCACATAAACATGCACATACACACACACACACACACACACACACACACAGAGTTATATGCACAATTATATATTGCAGTGGTTCTCAAGAGTCTCAACCGGTGGACTTCAACCTGTTGTTGATGTCAGTGGCCATGCATCCATGGATAATTAAATTGAGACATTGGTTGCATTGGGAAGGTGTAGAAAAAAGCAAACAAACCAAAACAGCAGACATTAACACATTCATATTCTTAAAACACACACACACACACACACACACACACACAAAACATTGACCTGTAGACTTTGTTGTTAGACTTTTTGTCTGTCTACTGATTATTTCACAGAAAAAAAAATCTGAAAAAAACAAGTGGATTATACAGTTTATCCCTTAGAAATCTGGTTAAATTGGCTCCAGCAAAGCTATGAGTATCTTCAAAGACTTAAAGTCACAAATGTGGAATTTTTTTGGACAATTCTAGGGATCAGGTCTTAGGCAAAACTGCTCATCATATTAACCTGCTATTTTGTAAATACGACTTTGTTTCTCAACAGACTGATGGGTGGAAAAGAGTCCAATAATGGCTTTTCCCATTAAGACATTATTTTCTGCTTATTTGGATATCTACATCATCATCATCATCATCATTATGAACCACACATCTGACAATAGCTAAGAGCTGATCTCTAAACTCAGATAAAGTGCTAATTTCTATGCTAATGGGCATTTCTTTGTCCAAAAGTGAAGAATTGTTAAGTATTAAAAGTACAACCAAAATTACTCCAGCTCTTATTCAAAGAGAGTCAGATAAGTGAACATATTTACATATAACCCTCAAAACAACCTCATATCAATGCTGGCACAAACAGAAAGAGAGAAAGAGTGCTCTAATCCTCTTCTTGCACCTGGAGTCAGGAGAGTTTAGGTTACAGAGCGCTTCACACACACACACACACAGAGATGCACCCCCTCCCAAGCTCTTTCACACACACACAATGCAATGCACACACAGAGAGGAGCCCCCCACCCTGCTCATTCAAATACAAGCCTACAATACAAAGTTAATCACTTTTCATGTTTTGACAAGCATTGGGAAAATATGGCCCCTAACTTAGAGCGAGAGGGTTCGATATCAGTTCAAAACAGTTTCAATTGTAATTGCCATTCTGTGTTTGTACTTCAGATATAATGCCACAACTCTCATGGCAGTGCAAATGGTTAGACACACACACACACACACACACACAAACATACACAAAAAGCACAATCCCAGAGCGATAGTAATCTCAAGTATTCAGACACTCCCTGCAACTCCATACGAATCAGGTTACAAATGTGCTAAACCTCTTCTTCACCCTCCAACCCAGCCCCTTTTTTCTTCCTGTGTCCAACTGCATTGTTGAGCGTTCCAACTCATACATACTAAGGCTATCACAATGTTGTACACAGCCAGAGGGAGAGAGAGAGAGGGTGCTGCTCAACTTTAGTAGTCTAAACAAGAACACTCCTTCTATCAGTTATGTGTTTATGCAGTGATGTCACTCATTCCAGTTAGGCTGACATGAAGGTTAAAGCCTCGCTGGTTTACGTGTTAGGTAGTACTCCAGGATTTTCCACCCTTCATTTTTTTCCTCTACACATGTGCAGTATGTGTGGAAAGGATGTACAGTGTGCACAGATGACTCTCTCTCTCTTTTCCTTTCTTTCTGTCTCATTCATCATCTGGACAGCTGATTCAGGCAAAATACTGGTTACATTTTCTCTGTTCGATGCCTTGCAAATTCAATTAAGCTGATGATTGCTGAGTGGAGTCTTAGAGGGCTGAAGTAACACTTTAACGCAGTCACACACAATGCACATGAACGCAGATAAGCAGCGCAGCACAATGTACAAAAATAATTATGGTATTACCATAGTTTTTAGGACAATGTAGCATGGAAAATTCACTATACTGCTTTATGTTCCATAGAGTACTAAATACCTAGGTAAGTGTTAACACAAGTAGCATTCTATGAAAAAAAAAAAAAAAAAGTGTAATTAAAAATTAATTTGTAATAATAAAATTAATTTATGTGTGCACGATTATACATGTGTGTATCTTTATATGTGTCATGGAATAAATCGTTATTGCTTGGCCAAAATCAGTGCTTCTGTTTTCCCTTGTTATATTAGGAAAATAATAGCAAGTAAATTCCACTAGAACTATAGTCTAGCAACAAGAAAAAGAAACGAGGAAGAGAGACAGAGAGCTTGTAAGAGAGAGAGAGAATTTTTAGGGAAAAAAAGTGCATCATGAATATCTTCCGTATTAGTTTGGTTAAAAAAAAAAAAAAGTGTAATTAAAAATTAATTTGTAATAATAAAATTAATTTATGTGTGCACGATCATACATGTGTGTATCTTTATATGTGTCATGGAATAAATCGTTATTGCTTGGCCAAAATCAGTGCTTCTGTTTTCCCTTGTTATATTAGGAAAATAATAGCAAGTAAATTCCACTAGAACTATAGTCTAGCAACAAGAAAAAGAAACGAGGAAGAGAGACAGAGAGCTTGTAAGAGAGAGAGAGAATTTTTAGGGAAAAAAAGTGCATCATGAATATCTTCCGTATTAGTTTGGCAGGAACTTTCGGGAACATTGTGTTAATGATTAATATGAAGTCCATGCATGGCAGCCTCTCTCTCTCGCTCTCTCTCCCCCCCATACTCACACACTCACACACACCACACATAAAATAACTGACTCCTCACCATCTCTCTCTCTCTCTCTCTCTCTCTCTCTCTCTCTACTTCCCCCTCTTTCCTTTTCCCATAGGGCCAGAGATGACCAAAATCAGCATAGCCAGTTGTCAAGGTAACCTCAATACAATCTATTTACCCGCCTCTCCTCTCACTCGCCAAGGTCAGCTATCTCTCTCTTTCTCTCTCTCCTCCTCTCTCGGTTTTGTTCTTTGAACAGCAGGGTAGAACACCCCCTAAAACCATCATTAGCACAAAACTAAAAGAACTGACAAAAGAACAAGAACTGAACTTTCCAAGCCACCAGTCTGCCACTGCATCCAGCTCTACTCTTAGGCCTCCCATTATTGAATTGTAATTTCCATCTTCCCCAAACACACACTCAGACACACACACACACACACACACACACACACACACACACACACACACACAACGTAGAACTTTTCTCTTAAACCAAAGAGAAATTAGTGATTATAAAGACCCCCTGCTATGAGGCAGCTCTTAAACAAAAATAAATGTACCGTGGTATGTAGAACTACAACTTACATCTTTCTTTCTTTCGTTTCTAATTTTCATGTTCAACTTGCGATAAACATATTCAGTAAATATATGCTTGCTTTATGCTACTAATCCACTAAAGCACACCCAGCATTACATTGTTTTCCACCATATAGGAAATGAACAATGCACCATTTCCCTATCTGCTTAAAAATTAAACAGTACCAAAACTCAAGAGCTCCAAATGTAAAAGACAACAAAGACAGCTGTCCCACACTGACCAAACCAGATAGATAAAGCCCAATTTAGGTTATCAACACCCTCCTGGACTTTAACTTTTAACTTTTCTGTTTTAAAATGCAGTTTTTAAATATAATTTATTTCTGTGATAGTAAAACAGCAATTACTCCAATCTTCAGTGACACATGATTCTGCAATCCTCCTAATATGCTGATTTGGTGCTCAAGAAACATTTCTTCTTATTATCAATGTTGAAAACAGTGCTACTCAATTTTTTTTTGTGAAACCAGGATTTTTTTTTACAGGATTCTTTGATGAACAGAAAGTTAAAAAGAACAGCATTTATCTGAAATATAAATCTTTTGTAAAAGTAGTCTTTGCTGTCACAATATTTTGTTAAAGTTCAGATAACTGTCACTGATTAGGATTACACTCTTCATTGGAGCCATATTGGTGAAAATATACTTTTACATTTGTTTAGCAGATGCTTTTATCCAAAATGACTTAGAAAAGAGAACGATATGATCAGAAGCAGCGCAGTCAGCAATACAGAAGAAGAACATGTAGTGCTACAAATATGTAATTTCAATTGAGCTCTAGAACAGCACTTCTATAATGTTCTTCTAATTATAGAATAAAAAAAAAACACAAAAAACCAAAAACCTAAAATAAAACAGAATACACAATATCACATTGAATTCAGATAGATTCATTTAAAAAAAACAACATAATAACACGGCAAATGGACTACACAGGTTGTGCTGTGTGTTTTTGATTCACTAAAAAGAATAAACTCATCAGATTCATTTGTTCAGGAATCAGACTGCAATGGTTACACAGTATGTTACTCAATGGTTACTCAAAAGAACTGGCTCATAATAATAGTCATTCATTTGGGAATCAGACACACA